GAAGACGAAGGTGGGGAGCATGTGGTTGAAGAATCACAAGGAACTGGTTCTGCTCCGTAAGCTGAACATGCCAGGGCATGACCCTGACAAGCCAAGCACAAGCAAGGCAGCTTCACATGCAAACACGTCTGAGAAGCCGAAAAAGCAAGGAAGAATGACAAGCCTGCAAGTATGTTCAAGGACATGGCCAACAAGTTCACTAGTAAGGAACAATGTGGCAAAGCAAAAGGATACAAACCTGGCAGACATGATCAATGGACTGTTCAGAGAGGCTGTCTCTGAAGAAAAACAAGTCAGGTGTGTTTACAAACACAAACACCCCGCCACCGTGACTGTTCCATGACATAACACCACTCTTTAACATCAACTTTACATGTATGTAATTGGCTCACATGGAACGTTCATTGACATCATTAGTGTTTTCTGTAGGTTTTATACAATGTATGAACTATAATCCCTATTATCTCAGAATAAATACAAGATTTCTTTTGTTTTAGCCACTGTGACCTTGACCCTTGACCTTTCAGCCCCATATGCAATAGCCTTCTTAGGATTACCAAGAACAATCCACAATCCAAATTTGAAGTTCACATGTTAAGTATTTCTCAAGTTATCGCGCTGAAAAATTCTTTTGTTTTAGCAAATGTGACCTTGACCCTTGACCTTTCGGCCCCAAATGCATTAGGCTTCTTAAGATTACCAAGAACAATCCACAAACCAAATGTGAAGTTCACATGTAAAGTGTTCCTCAAGTTATCGCGCCGACAAGATTTCTATTGCTTTAGCCACTGTGACCTTGACCCTTGACCTTTCAGCACCAAATGCAATAGGCTTCTTAGGATTACCAAGAACAATCCACAAACCAAATTTGAAGTTCATATGTTAAGTATTTCTTAAGTTTTCGGGCTGAAAGATTTGTCCAGACACACACACACACCCACCCCACACAGGTTTACGTTACATACCTTGTGAGGACTTTCCATTGCTTTCGTGTAGTTAAGAAAAAAACAGTGACAAAAATCATTTTCTCAAACTGTGAAAACTCTTTCAACCCAATTTTTTTCTATGATTCCCTTCAGTGTTTCTCTTCATTCTGCCACGGATAAACCTAACCCCAAAATGCCTCTAAACCTGTTTTCCAGAAATGGGAAAACATTGTGTGGACGTGGGAAAAGAATAAAAAAAATTAATAAATAAACAAATTAAATAACCATAACTGCCTGCGTTCACGATAAAGCATTCCTTCTTTTACCTACTTCTAGAATGCTAAATTTATTTTTTTTTAAATGGAAGAAAATGGGACCTGAATCATTTGCCCAATACCAAGCGGGTGCACACAATCTCCCCCTACACATTGTTTCATTGGTTGATAAAATACATCTAACACTGGTCATTTCAAGAGAGAGCTAAGGCTCCCCTAATCTATTCGTATTATTTTTTAAGCGCACGTTGTCTAATTGACTAAAATGCTGACACTGCGTAAAATATATAGTATCCCCCGAGCACAATCCGTTGTCGTTCGTACACAACAAACTTTAATTTAGGCTAATGATGTGCATCGGGTCGGGTCGACCAGGCCAAACCGACCCGAAACATTATTTGAGATATAAACCAACCCGACCCGACCCGACAAAAAATAAGGTAAAACCGACCCGAACCGACCCGACCCGAAAAAAAAAAAAAGGAAAAAAACGAATTGGACAAAGTGATCACTTTTTTGTGCCTGCCCTTACCATGGAGCTATCCACGTGGCATGAATTCTTTTGCAAAACCATCGTCTCTCTCTCATACTCAGTGGGTTAACAAGAGTAGGGCATAACTCCGCTTATTAAACAAACGCATGGTCACTACGTGGTATCATGAAAACTGTTACAATCTATCTATTTCACTGTCAGTCCCATCCGACTGGAGAAATTAATACCGTGGGAACTTGATAGTGCGCTCGGTGGCCACACCACACAATGGGCTGCCGTCACAATGACTGTAGTGTCAATAATATTGCTAGCCTGAATTTTTCAACCGTTTAGTTTTATTTCGGTTTATTTCAGTTTATCTCGTTTTTTTTTTAAAGATGGCTGAACCGACCCGGCCCGACCCGACCTGAAAATGTAAAAGCAAAACCGAAACCGACCCAACCCGACTGAAAAGATGGACAAACCGACCCAACTCGACCCGAGGTCGGTTTAGGGTCAGGTCGGGTTTGCACATCATTCATTTAGGCACGCTAAATTCCTTCCTCCATGCGCTAACCTACATGACCTAGACCCGTGAACGTGGCTATATACAACGCCACGTTCACGGGTCTAGCATAGCTTGAGTAACTCCAGCTGACATGCTCCATATTCATTCACATGTAAAATGAATATGGAGCATGTCAGCTGGAGTTACTCAAGCTAGGTCTAGCGTAGCTCTACTGAGTGGAGCGTTGAACTACGGTACCCTCCGTACAAACGCTCCACCGATATGGCATACTTTGGTGACGGCTTCACAGTAGCATTATAGTGTACATGCCCTCGCGAGGACAAAAGACCCCAAAAAACTGATTAAGAGAATACAAATGAGAAAGACAGTAACCCTGGATACATGTAGATCCTCACATTCATGACATTCCATTAGACCCCTTAAATTGTTCCAAACAACCGGTAATTTAAAAAAAAATAAAAAATAGTCTGGACTGATGCATAATTCATCGCGCGCGTGTGTGAAGTCACCATTGAAGAAAACAAGTTGCGCTTACTCAAAGACTGTTTCATGTAATCATATGTGCCCCGCGCCATCTGACAGTGTGGGCTTTTGGCGCGGGACACATATGACTACATGAAACAGTCGTTGATTAAGCGCAACTTTTTTTTCTTCGATCGTACAACGACGGTGATGTCACGTCAGACGCCCTCATTCAGCAAGTCGGTGCAAGGTCTGAGCTTCACAGCAAACACATGCATTGAGCTGTGAGTTTTTTCTGACTATTTTGCTGGTTTATTTTCTTCAAAATTTTCGCTGTTTGGGAACAATATAATTAAAAGGGGTCTGATGGAATGTCATGAATGTGTAGATAAATCCAGGGTAACTGCCTCTCTCATTTGTATTCTCTTTACCGTTTTTGGGGGGTCTTTTTGTCCTCGCGTGGGTATGTACACTATCATATGCTACTGTGAAGCTGTCACCAAAGTATGCCAAATCAGTGGAGCATTTGTACGGAGGGTACCGTAGTTCAAGGCTCCACTCAGTAGAGCTAGGTCTAGCGCTAACCCTAGCTTGAGTAACTCCAGCTGACATGTTCCATTTTCATTCACATGAATGAATATGGAACATGTCAGCTGGAGTTACTCAAGCTACGCTAACCCAAACAAATTTTACCTCAACTAGGCCTATAATTTAGTATAATGTACTGTCACTACTGTTGTACAGACAAGTACAACCGAATGCGATTGTTTGCACTAGTTAGTAGGATGGGTTGCCATATTATCGCGGTACTTATCACGTTTCTCGTTCGGAATAGAGATTCCCCACTAACCTTCCCGAATTGTCCTGTCTTTTGTGTAGTATAACTCTTCCTTTTCAAATTGATATAAAAAATTCCGACGGTGGTGTGGTTTATTCCGTGTTCGATGCCTGTGAAAATAGACATGCTCGGAGTGTGCGAACGGAAGTGGACTCCCTATTATCGCGGTATGCGGGAAGTGGTTTTTATAATGATCTCAACTTTTTTATTCATGGTTAATGTTTGACCAAAACACCCCCTGAATAAGGTCTGATATTTTCCCTTTAAGTTCAAGTTGATTAAAGACTATTAATCTGCAGGATGATTTCTAAGACCCTGCCCTTCCCCCGAAAGGAGAACACAACTCACTTAGGCAAGTCTACCGATTGGCGATTGGGGGCGCCATACACTTTACACGGTGTGCTGTTTTATTTTTGTTAACGTGCTGTGCTTATTTTGATCCCGTAAAAGTTTTTACGATTTCGCGGTGCAAATATCGTCCTTCGACTTCATTTTACATTTGCAGCTGATGAATGGGAACCAGGCAATGGAACTTTCATGGACAGAGCACCATTAAAGAATGGCAGTGGATATTTTGCCGGAGACGGCAAACCTTCAGTAAACGTTAGTTTGCCGGATATGCACTGAACATGCGCAGTTACTGTTTTTTTGTACTTAAAAGACATTTTCTGGTGACAAATTTTAGTCTGGTTCCATGCCAATGTTATCATTGTAACCTCGTATTAATCACAAGATGGGATTCAGACCATTTTATAATTTCGGACTTTATTTCCCTTTTTAAAAAAATCCTCCAGAGCCACAAATCTGAAAAAGAAAATGTAATACTCTGATTACTCTGCAATAAAATGTTTGAGACATGTTAAAATAATAAAAGAAGAATATTCTTATTTATTTGGGGATGGAAAAAAAAAACTTAAAAATGTGGTGAGGATCAGGATTCGAACTCGGGACATCCCACTCACTAGAGCAATTGCTTATCCATTGCACCGATAATACACAAGTTTGGTGGGAATTTAATACATATTATAATTCAGCCCTATCTTAAAGAGTACAGCGCCCTCTGTTAATATGGATTGCCGCCGGCAAACCTTTAGTAAACGTTAGTTTGCCGGCGTTACCTCCGGCAAAATATCCACTACCTTAAAGTTAAAGAAAAATACAGACGGTACCTATTTTAGCAGACACGGTGAGGGAAAATTTGCAAGTTGAAAACGTTATTATTCATTAAAAATCGTTAAAAGTCCCGAAAGACACAAACATTTTTAATCGTCCTTTTTATACAACTTGGCAAAAAGTCCTTAATCATTGTGAACTGGAAAAAAATTGCCACTTGAACTTGTCTTGAAGGAGTTTTGGCAACGCAAAAAGAGAAATTTACCATGCCGCGATAATTAATAGGGATGCCGCGATAATAGGGAGTCCGACTATACATAGAATCTTTCTCAAATTCAAAATTAAACTTAAAAATTCTCGTTTAATTTTGTGAATTTTGACTTACTTCGGTTATTTTGTAGTGTGGTCTGGCTAGGCCTAGTAAACAGCACTTTCTTCCCTCTTGCTACGTGCATGGAATGTCAGTACACTTCGCGCGAGGGCGATACTACTGTTGTGCGCTTTCTTGACAATAACGCATTCTTAAGAATGCGCTTGCACATTCTTATGATTGTGCAACTGGATCCTTGCACAATCTTCGCAAAAAATAACTGTTCCAGATTGAGCGCACATTCTTAAGAATGCGCGACAAGATAACGGTCTTGTCGATACCGAGTACCTGCTTGCAGTGGCGTAGCCACCGGGGGGGGGGGGGCGTGGGGGGCGACCGCCCCCCCATGAAACCTTGTCGCCCCCCAGTCGCCCCCCACTGAGATTTTGAGTTTCTAAAAAAAAATCATTGATCTACATGACGCCATGGGCCCTATTATGTACTACAATGTATCTTTTGCTTAGAAAATATTGGTTAAAGTGGTCAGAAATTGCCTCAGATAGCACCACAGAGCATTTAAAATCCAACATTTTTCGGGGCCCTTAAGCGGGCCCCGAACCCCACGCCCATAGCTCAGAATTCTGGTAGCTGATTCAATGACTCCAACCTCGAAAACAATGTTTTCTTATGCCTTTAGCTGAGAAAGCCTCAAAAATTATGTTTAAAATTATTATCTTTTGTGCTAAGATAATGATTGGTTAAAGTGGTAAGAAATTGCCTCAGATCACACCACAGAGCATCGAAAATCGACGCCAATAGCTCAGAATACCGATAGCCAGGCGCGTACGCAGGGGGGGGGGGGTGTTTTGGCTGTTAAACACCCCCCTTTGCCATGTAAAAATATGGAGGGAAAAGAGAGTTATGTGACCGAGCGCGGAACAATTACAAATTATGTGCATGTTCTCAACTTTAAGCTTTGAATACAGAAGACACTTTATAAGAGCAAGAGTATATAGGCCTATATGTATTTGAAACAAATGAAACAAAATATCCCCTCAATTTTAACAACTTCTGCTAAAAAAATCAGGGGCAAGTGGCCAGGAAACGCCTCAGATTGCACCACAGAGTATCTACGATCCGAAATTTCCCGGGGCCCTTAACCCTAAAGGGGCGGGGGGAGGGGCGGAATCCGCCCCCCCCCTCAACATTTTCCGTGATAGCCTCTAAAAAAAATATTTCGCGACCCGAGCTGTTATGACTTTTTAGCCTCGAGCTTTGAGCATCTTTTGATACCAAAAACATAAAAATCGGACCACGGGTTGCCGCGTAACGAAAATTTTCCGGCGCTACGCGCCGTGAAAACTGAATTTTCGCATATACGTCGTGTACACAGAGAAAAATTGCCATTCGTACATATGAATAATTAATTAGCCATAATTCCAAAACCCTTTGACCTATAGTCATGAAATTTCTTGGGTATGTTTAGGAAGAGTTGCTCTATGCATGTGCCGAGTTTCAAAATTGTTCGTCTCTCGATGGCCGAGATCTTAGGGGGGGGGCGGAATCCGCCCCCCCCCGGCTGAGAGATGGTCAAAATTACCCGGCCCCTTTAGGGTTAAGCGGGCCCCGGACCCCACGCCGTAAGTGCTTCGCGCTCCGCGCTCGTATTAGTCCTCCGGCCAAATTCCCTCTATGCTAATTTCACCCTAGCGGTGCCCCCACCTTATTTGTACCTTCAGCAGCGAATGGCTGAGGCTCGGACTACAAGTGGCCTAAATCCCTTTCCAAAATAGAAAATTGTGAAAAAAATACGGAGATGGAACATGGTTCTCAACTTTGAGTACATAACAAACTTTATAAAGAACAAAAAAAATAACAAATTTAAATGGAATTTTCGATGTTTAAAACTTGTTCTAAACGGTGGAAGTAGCCAGGAATCGCCTCAGATTGCACCACAGAGCATCTACGATCCGAAATTTTCACGGGGCCCTAAAGCGGGCCCCGGACCCCACGCCGTAGGGGCTTCGCGCTGCGCGCTCGCAGGTCCTGGACCCTTCACTACAATTCTAGGCCCCCCCCCCCGGGCAAATGGCAGTCTGAATCCGCCCCTGTGACCAGAGCGCATTTGTATCCTGTATCTGGAGTTTGGCCTTAGGGGTGGGGGCGGCTTACACAAAGAATTAGATTCCCAACGGATGAGAATCATGAGATCCAGGGACGAAGCTGAGTAATTTTAGCCAATTACAAGAACAGATCCTAGCACTTCCGCAGCCCGTGTCACTTTTCTTGAATTATTATGATTATTTTTGTAATGCTGTTGAGGGAGGGGACTGCCCACATTGACCCCTTTACTCATGTTCATCATATACTCTAAAGACACAGAACATGTTGGTTTTTTTTCTCGATTTACTATGTTTGGCGCCAACACAAACTCCCGACTTTTATTTTAGCATTAAGTTTAGCCCACTGATACTATCTTTTATTTCTGGCGCCAACACAATATTTACCATCTTCATTTCTAGCGTCATAAATGATGACATCCAATTTTGAAACACCCCCTTGAAAAAATCCTGCGTACGCCACTGCCGATAGCTAATTCCATGTCTCCAACCTCGAAAACGATGTTCAAATAATTATCTTTTGCCAAGAAAATATTAGTTAAAGCATGGAGGAAAGTCGTAAAAAATTGCTTCAAATCACACCACAGAACATCTAGAATCCAATTTTTTTCGGGGCCCTTTTAAGCGGGCCCCGAACCCCACGCCGTAAGGGCTTTGCGCTTCACGCTTGCATCAGTTATGATCAAGGTATGTCCCCCCCCCCCCCACTTTTGACAAGCGATTGACGCCCCTGCTTGACGCCCCCCCCCCATGAAATGTTCCACCCCCCCCCCCAGCCCCCCCCCCCCCCCCCACTGAAAAATTCCTGGCTACGCCACTGCCTGCTTGGCAAGTCTAGCTGCATCCTCGTTCACTGATTCTTAATAATGATACTGTTGCAATGCAAGGCGCTGAAAAGTAGAGTGGATATGAAAAGTATACGCGTATTGGGGGGGGGGGAACCGGGGAAAAAAAATAAACGACATAAGGCCCAAAAAAAAATATTCGGACTCTGGTCAGACCAAAGTTCCGGAATTGACGCGGCCACGCGGCTTTTTTTTTTTTCTTCAAGCTTGGATTGTACAGACAAGGTGGGGTACTATTTTTCTTTTTGGGTGTCCTCTATGGCATGTACATTGGTGTCCTCCATAATTTGCCTTGGTGCTTTCGATCATTTGCCTTGGTGCAATTTCCCATTCCTTGGTGCTCTTTGGTAAAAAAAAATTGAGGAGGTGCGGAAATAGAGGGCGCTGTTGGAGCTACCGCAGAACATTTTGGGAAAAAAAGATCGATGCGCATGAGTAAAATCGACGTGCGCGCTGACCAGAGACCGACTTAAAAGTGGGGGGGGGGGACGTAAGAATGAAGAATGTGAAGAATGAGAATGAATACTGTGACATCCCATAGTGCTAATGCTATTTCCCATTTAAATTGCCACCAATTTATTGTTCACACCCCACCATTACGCCGCAGAGCTGGATTCTATCTAGTCAAAAGAACTTCTGGACATCGTTTTTTTTGTGGCATGCATATGATACATACAGGGACTTGTAACTTGTCTTGCCTAAATAAAGCACTCCCCAAAGAGTCCCCAGACTAGTTCCCAGTCCTCCGTTATTACAAAACTTCCCATAGTAAGCAGAAAAAAAGCAATAATAACAGGTTTAATGTGATTCAAATTATCGTAGTTATACGAGTACAGAAGCATAGAACATTTTCTTTCCTCTTTATATGAATTGTTTCCCTTTTAACCGCTATACATTTCATTTAACATAATTATGTCGTGCAATGTTTGTTAAGATTGCGCAAAAGTCATAAATATTGTGCACGTAATATTTTCACGCAATCTTAAGAATGAGCGCTCATTCTTCAGAACGCGTGCTCATTCTTAAGAATGTGCGCTCATTCTTAAGAATGCGCGCACATTCTTAAGATTGCGTGATTTTCAAGAATGGGCACAACACTACCATAATCTTTATTTCGTGGAGTCAGACACGCTACGCCGGCGGCACAGGGAACCAGACTATTGTTTATCACGTCACCATAGCATCTTACGGAAGCCCGATCATGCCAAGTAAAAAAACAAAATTAAAAAAACCGAAATACATACATGTATTAAACGTTTTGCGAACTATCGCCGTTTGCGAGTTAGCAACGCCCCTGGCCCCTGAGACAACCCTATGAAACTGTGCACGTAGAGTTATGTTTGTGTCGGATTTTGCGCGCTTCGCATCCATTGTATATCATGTAATTAGACAATAATTACACAAGCTGCTATGATTGATGCAATTCTATCGCGATAAGTTTTGAAATAAATACCACTTATGCTTAAGGGCGGATGGGGGGGGGGGGGGCAACGGAGGCCATGCCACCCCCGGACTATCGCGGGTTATCGCGTATAAACCATAGCCTTTAGTCAAGTCCCACGCACTTACCTGGACACGTGACGCACGTATGCTGGCACGTCAAACTGAAAGGCTAGCACGTACGAGCGTCCGGGTAGACATGAGCGCCCTGACCAAATTTAAACCATAACAGCGACTAGCCCCTACCGTGTCACCGTGTAAAAATTGCAAATAATACTTTTTATGGAGGCGAAACTAGTCTCAAACCTTTCCCTTGTTTAGAAAAGTCCTTAATCGTCGCATTTTTTTTTCGTACAGAATTTACATGAAAAACGATGCAGTCACGCACACAGCCCTGTTTAACCTCAGTTTCTTGCCCCGAGGTCACGCACGCATGGCCCAAAAGCGTACGCGAGGTTTTACGAGATGTACAACAACAACAAAAACCTGGACACGTGCACTGTTTGGCCAAGATGGCTAAAAAAATTTGAAGTTGAAATCGTGTGCTTTATTTTTATACCAAAAATAACCGCTTTTGACAAACACAAAGTGTTATTACGGCCTGTCAAACAAAATCATATTTTATATCAACAAAAGCGAGGGCCGATAGTTTTTAGGTGTACATTCGATTCTTAAAAACGGCCAAAAGAAATATGGCAAGGCTCAGTAGATAGAGGAAAATATACGCTTCTTTTTCATGTGAAACACGTGCAGGAGGCTTCTAATGTTTGGTTTCAAATCGCCGGTT